ATCACCCCTCGGATAGAGTCCACATAGGAAACAGTTACTTCAGGGCTACACATCCTCACATGGCATGACTGCTCAAGAGAAGCCACAGCTCAATCTACTGCCAATCACAGCTTACAGTAAGGCTGGGCCATATGGGAACTGAGATTGGGGCTCTGTTCCTAGTCCTGGCAAGGGAGGAGGAGGAGGAAAATATCACCCACTCTTTCTCCTAAAATAGGTGCAGCCCACTGCTCAGCTTTTGAGCTCATCGTATAGGTGCGCCCACTGCTCAGCCTTTGGGCTCATCATAACCAAGACACACTGCATGAATGTCCAAGAGCTGTATCTGGATTGCACCAGCTTTGCCTACAAATGGGAAATTGAAGACTTGTTCTCCTGAGAGATACTTGGTTTTCTAAAGATAGTCCATGTATCTTCCAAATCACACATTTAGGTGGCCCGAGCTCTGATTAGGAAGAAGAACTTCTGTTATCTCCAACAGTCGTCTTCCTCATGGGACATTCCTACATCACTCAGAACTTTGTACAGGAAATACCCACCAGCACAATATTAGTGGCATTTGTGTGTTCAGCAAATTAACCATTAGCAACTGACAGAGATTACAATTGTGAAAAAGAGTCATTCACTCTGAATTCCCTCAGTATTCTCCCCCACACCTCTTTTCTTTTTGGAAGCCCTTGTATCATTGCAATCATGGAACTAAGCAGGTTCTCTCACTTGTCACATTAAGCCTTCTCCAGTCAACAGTAAATCCAGCAGAAAGATTTTGCAACTCTTTTTCAGTTCTCTGGGTAGGAACACACTGCACAGGCAGCTCCAGCAAATCCGTTCTCCTTCCTGTTTCCCTCCAAGCAGGGTCATGCTAAATATATGGAACTGGAGATGCTCATGAGTGCGCTCATTTCTTTCCCCCTCATCGTGTATGTCTCCAGGTTAAACAATCCTAAAATGAGATAGTCCTGTTTGCTCAACTAATTGGTCACCAGACTTCTAACAGCAAAGGCAGAAGTGCAATATTAGACCATAGGTGCATAGTGACAAGCATAACAGCTGTTTTTAATACTGTATTTTTTACACTCACAGTTAAACATTAAACAAACAGCTGTGCAGTGCAGAAAGTTTCAAAGAGCAGCTAGGGAGAGGAAAGGGAAACTAGAAAAGCAATAAGATGACCCCATAACAAATGAAGACTTTCCACCATGAGGAAGGAGTTTGACACAGCCCTCTGTTCACAGGCCAACTCAAGAATCCCCTTGCAGCAGAGGTGGCTGTGTTACTCCTCAGCACAGTTTTACTTTTACAGCTCCACCTCGGGAATGAAGGTCTAAATCCTAGTTGATAAGTACCAAATGGGCTGACACATCTCCTGCCTCAAGACAAGGTGACGTATTTCCGCACAGCATGTAGAAGGTGTTTTCTCCCTCCACACACAGGGAGAGAAGAGACCTGGCAATGTACACATGCTTAAGAGATTCAGCTAGGTGACTTGGTTAGCATATAAGTACCCTTATTGTCATTTTATACACCCAGGAGCTGGAGAGAAGGGAAGTGACTTGCCTGTCTCAAAGCAGCTCTGCTCCAGAGCCCCGAGTTGTACTTCCTTCACCTTGTATACACATCTGCAATCTCATGGGACTTTCTTTTCCCCTTCCCTTGTACATGCATACCTGTATCCCAGGGAGTAAGAAAAATTATGCGGATGAAGAACATCCTCCAAGATCAGGCAAGTGCAACACTCTTCAGGAAGTGCTAAGTCTCTGAAGCACCAAACGGGAGTAACAGGTCTTGTTCCCTCCTTTCTCTCATCCATCATTCAAGCATCGCTCTATTCAGCTGCTGCATTTTCAGATGTGCTCTGGCAGCCACAGAACGTGAGCAACCACAACATTTACAGAGGGCTGATGGGTCACAAGTCAGACCTCACTTCTTGCCCTTGGCTCCAAGTTGTCCCTTGCTTTGTAGGCCTGCCCTCTTGAGAGAGGGCAGCAGAGAGGGAAAAGCAGCAGAATGAGCAGCATCAAGAAAACAAACCCGTGTTTCAGAGCCAGACCACTGGAGACCTGACTTTGCTTCAGAGAGAAAGCAATTAAACTCACCCACTGCAGCCCTTCCACATGGAAAATGCTCTTATTATTCAATTAAGTTTCTTGTAACTAAGGTTAATGGTCCATGTGGTATCTGCCTCAAGGTATCAGAGGCTTCTGGCTCATCCACCAACAGCACAGAGACAGGAGGAGACTAAAAAGACCAGAAAGAGCAGAGTGGCAGGCAACTGGCAAACACAGGCCGATGCTCCACTTGCTCAGTTCGAGGCTAAAGACTGCAGTGAAAAGCAATGATTAATACACTGAGTTGTTGCAGGACTTGCATTCCTTCAGCTATTCCTTCAGAACAGCATTCCCCTAAGTATCTTCACAGCTCTTGCCCAAGAAAAACCTGCTCACAAGAGAAAAGTCTCAGATTAAAGTCAAGATTTCTACTACCAACCTTCTAAACCTTGAGCAATCCTCATCAACAGGGAGAAGCAAGACCACCAGAACAAATCAACCTCTGTCTCTGACCAGGCTAGCAAGAGGAAACCCAGCCATGTTTGCCTCTCATCAGTTCAGGGCTGCAGTTGGGGAAAGGACTTCACACACCCACAGCCAATTACCCCAATTAGACACCACCTTGAAGGCTTCTGCTGGTTCAGCTCAGGAATAGTATCTGTAGGCCTTCTCAGTGAGGAATCAAAGAATGGTTTGAGTTGGAAGGGACCTTTAAAGATCATCTAGTCCAAACGCTGCCACAGGCAGAAGGACATCTTCACTACACCAAGTTGCTCAAAGCCCCAACCAACCTGACTTTGAACAGTCCCAATGATGGGACATCCACAGATTTTCTGGGCAACCTGTTCCAATGTTTCACCACCCTCATTGTAAAATATTTCTTATATCAAGCCAAAATCTATCCTCTTTCAGTTTAAAACTGTTGCCCCTTGTCCTGTCATTACAGAGTGTTGTAAAAAGCCTCTCTTCATCTTTCTTATAAACCCTCTTTATATATTGAAAGGCCGTAGTAAGGTCTCCCTGGAGCCTTCTATTCTCTAGGACCATGTCTATCCTCAGAACTTGTTCTGGCCATCCCTTGCCAGAAAGCCTCCTAGGACAGTCCATCTTTATTTAAGTGGGTTTTCTTTTCCAAATTAGTTTTCATAGCAGCAGCTGGTTGCATGGCCCTCTAAGCACATTCATGGCAGTGCTCGGAGAGTTCTGCATTAAAAAAATAGTAAGCCTCAAACCTGAAGTTTCCCACCTTAGATATCTTCTTGACCAGCTCAGTACCTCTGCAGAGATTTCACATTCCAGCATACAGGAACATGGAGATTAGTCCACTAAAGTTTCCAGTTAAATGCAGCAGTAACCTGGACTGGGTGGCTCTTCACTGCCATGGGAATGGCCTAATGTCCAAAAGTAACCATCAAGCAGAAGATGCATTTAAATACCTGCAAATACCACCAAGCAGTCGTGTAATCCCTCCCTGCCTCCTCCCACTCTACTATCACCCTAGTTCTCCAGGAGAGAAAACTTCTTTGTGGAAGGTGTCTGGCAAAACACATATCTTCAAAAAGCACGTGAAATTTAAGGAACTAGATTCATTTTAACTGAAGTTAGTACGCATGCTGCCTCTGCTAACAAGCCCCAGACAACATCTGATCTGCCAACAGGCCCTCATCATAATACCTATAATACCTGAAGAAGCCTAACTTCTTCACGACCAGCTTCTACAAGGAAGCTCATGCCCAAAGCATGCTTTTGGCCTCATGGGTTCACTGGTGACACCCAACAGTTAAGTAATGCTGGGTTCAGTTGCATCATAGCCCTGACACACACCTCCTGCCCCATAAATACCAGGTGCATTTTATTACATAGTAACACACATAAGAGAAGAAAGACAAGTTTTTGAAGGTCTGGATCTTTTACAGTGTCAGAGTAAAGCAAAGCAAGAGATAGTTAACACCACCTCCCCCAACTTCCCCCCACCTTTTTATCATTGTCTCTACCAACTCCCTACACATTGAAGCATTAGAAATATAGCATGGAAAAAAAAAGCAACACAGTGTTTTCCCTTTTCTCTTGTCCTGTGCAACCAAGGACAGGAGGGAAGGTTCATTCGCCTGGTTCACCATCTTTTGGTACATCAGAACATCTCATCCAGCAATTAACACCCAATCCAAACAACGGGGGCAGAGTTTCCAAGGTACCACTTAGCTATTGAGATAAACACGACATTAAAAAGGGGGGAGGGGGAAAACCAGCAATAGCTAGGCATACATAAATGACAGGCTTCCTTCCCCATCACAAGCAGCCATGGGTTTAGCAGTGCTGCCCCGCAGCCTCCTCATATCACCCCTCACCTGCGCTGCCCCCTCTCACCTCCTGGGCTCCCAGGGGCACCCTGATCCCAGTGAAGTGTGAAGAAGGGTATTTAAAAAGGCTCATTAAGTGCAACATTCCCCGTCCCCTCTCTTATTTTTTTAGGTAGTACTATTATCCATCCGCATAATTCCCTTCTAGACTTTAAACCCGTTTTGCTACTAAAAGCACTGGATGGCAAACCCCCGTCCGGGGCAGGAGGACACCAAAGCTCCTGCCCACCCCACGCCCGCCGGGACACCACCACCCTGTCGCCGCGCAGCCCCAGGGTGCCCCGGCCGTGCCGGGGAAGCCCATGGGAGGGTGAGGGAAGCCCGCAGGTGCACCGCGGCTCCCGGCCCCCGCGGCGGCAAGAGGATGCGGGCAGGACCGCGGGCGCGGAGGGAGAGCCCGACCCGTTCCCGCACAGCGTCGGGGGGGCCGCAGCGGCACCGGTGTGTCCCCCCCACTTCCATCCCCAGCCACACCGGTGCCGGTGTCCCCCCCTTTCCCTCCCCAGCCACACCGGCGGAGGGAAGGAAGGTGACGGGGACACGGTGCGTTTCCCCGCCGCAGGGAAACCGGCGCTCCGGGGGACGCTCCTACCTGCCCGGGCTCGCTGCTGTAGGCGAAGGCGTAGACCCGCTCCGCGCTGATGTTCACAGCTCCCCGGTAGACGCGGCCGAAGGTACCGGGCGCGGGGCTGCCCCCGGGATCGTCCCCCGTCGCCACCCCCACCGCCCAGAGCAGGGCGCAGAGCAGAGCCCCGGCAACCGGGGCTATCCCTCCGGCCATGGGCTCGTCCCTGCCGCTACCGGCCCCGCGGGGCCGCCTCACGCCCGCCGGCCGGCTGGCCGCCCGGTGCGGCACCCGGGCTGTCTCTACCCGGCAGGGAGGGCGCTGAGGCGCTTTATTTGCAATTGAAATAAATAGCTCGACGACACGCACAGGCGCCGGGGGAGGCGGGGAGGCAGCCCCGGACACCTCCGCCCCTCGATCGGGGGGAGCCGAGCAACTTTCCCCGGGGAAGGACCCTCCGCTGACCCGGAGGGAAGGGGAAGGAAAGAGAGGAGGGTCTCCTCCCTGTGCCCAGCCCCAAATCCTGAGCTGGCCTCGGCGAAGGGTTGTCTTTTCTGACAACCTTTGGCAGACGGTTGGGACCTTGGGAAGCTTCGCTGTGAGCTTAGGGGCACGCCAGCTTCATCAGCCACATGGGGACGGCATCTGCAGGGCTTCGACACCTTTATCTTTGGCTGCTGGTGATTTTGGTATAAAAGCCCTCCTCTTTTAGTTCAGGCCAAAGGTGTGAAAGGTTGCAGCAAAAAAAAATGTCATTTTGTTACTTCAAGCACAGCTTGGTGCATCTTACATTCTTTGAGTCCTTCATGAAACTGCTACAAACAATACTGTGATATTATTAACCTTTTCAGCAAGATGAGAGCGATGCTATCGGGCTGGGAAAGGGCCAAGGGTCTCTCTCTCACAGCTTGCCCCTTCTATGTTCTTCTCTTGAAAACACACCTGGGATATATGTCAGATCCCATGATGAAAGGAGACACTTTTAAGTCAGAGAAGAGAGAGTATTACTAGAAAGCAATCAGAAATGTTCTTCAGACTAAGGATGAACTTGTAGGAGCCACAGTTTTATAAAGCCAGCCTGTAGTCTCCAACTGCAGTGACTCTGGCCACAGAAGCTTTCCAAGTTGTGGGTTTTGTTTTCAAGACTGAGAGATTTCCTGGGGGTCACTTGTCATCTTTGGAGGAAAAGTTGCAAAGCTCAGCAAAACGTGTCAGCGTGCATTATGCCGTCATTTTGATCTTCGGGCCTTTGAGTGATCTCTGCCAAGAGAAAAAAAACAAACAATTGTTAGTGATTTCTGTGCTCGCCTTGAAGCAGGCTGCCATTCAAGTCACCCTGCCTTTTGTCAGAGTCCCAAGAAGTGGCATTGAGGGCAAAAAAACCAACATTTGAGATCTGCTGGAAGATGGACATTGCAACACAAAGAGTTTGCCTTTCAGCCTGGAGCATCATGCTGTGCAGACCAGGAGGAAACCTATGCAATGCCACCTCTGAGCTCTTGTGACTCTGTCTTGCCTCTTACGGGACATGGTGTGACCCGTCCTGGAGGACTTTCAAGCAGTGGTGGCAATGGGAGACTTGTGGTTTCCCCCCCACACGCTGTAGAGCCCAGGGCTCCTGAACCCTACAGCTCCCTTCTCACCCACTGCCCTATGCAGACCCACAGGTCCCTCTGGCAGGGAGGGACCTGTGGCCATGTCTTCTCCCAAAGAAGAGGAGCTTCAGGGAACAGGAGGAGGTACAGCAAAGCAAAAGCATGTCTGGGCCATACCAGGTTGCTCAGAGCAATATGACAGATGGCACAAGGCTGGTGTTCTGCAAACCAAGGTAGCTCTGGCAGCTGCAAATAACTTTTTGTGGCATTTGGTGCCGTGCGCATTTCACATTGGGAGATCAGTGTGGTGTCAGGGTGTTGTCCCTCCCTAGTCATGTCTCCTCATGACAAAGAGGTGGCTTTCCATAGAGTTTACACTTTCCAGTGCAGAATTAAGGATTTCTTAAAGCACTTGCCCTGAGTGGTAGTATGTTTTGGTATCCTACTCAAGACTACACATTTTTTCCTCATATTGATTTTGAGAATTCAGTATTTTTTTTCAAAGTGTAATACTTTGTACTTGTCTTCATTGAATTTCATCTCACTGTTTTGAGGTTCTTTCTGTGATTTAGCAATGCTAAACCTTTGTTCAAATCTTTGCCTACAAAGTGCGGTACTGCCCGAGTCAGTATTATTTGCAGAAATTTGAAGTCAAAGGTCAATTCCACCGTTTAAGTCACTAATTAAACTAATCAATCCTAGCAGACAGATCAGATCTCTTAATTTGATATACTTTTCTATTGATAGGAAAATATCCACTGCTACAGTTTGGGAATTGCTTTTCAATCACGCCCCACTCTTATGTGAATTCCACCTGAGCCCTATTTGCCTTTATGAGCCTGGTGCACAATGTTAAAAGCCTTGCTGAAGTCAAAATATGTTTCATCTATTCCTTTCAGCACCTACGAAGTCAGTTATCTCAGCAAAGAAATAAATTAGGTTACTTTGACATGATTTGTTCTGGACAAATGCACGCTGCCTGTTTCTCATCACTTTGTTGTTATTTAGTTGCTTGCACACTGATTGCTTGTTTCATTATCTTTCCAGATAACAAATGGAGGTTGGCTGATTTATTACTCTTCACTCAGCCCCTTTGACAAAGATGAGTAGCCCGTTTTCCCTTTTGACTTCCACCCGGATCTTATTCTTGAATGGCAGCATGTATTTTGGAATAAAGAACTAGTCCCTGCAAGAGACAAGGTGCTGATCTAGACAGACCATGGGTCTGGGTCAGTGGAAGTGCTCTGGTTTTCTTGTATGTGCCACAGTACTCTACTGTCAAGGGGCCAGGTATTCCCTAAGGAACAGGGAGTTGAGTGCCATAATACCACGAATGGAGCAGGGACCTCACTGGCCAGGGCCCCATCACACAGGACCTGAATCAGGTGAGCAGGGAGGTGTACCTGAAGGTGGCAGCTGAGGTTAACCATGAGTCCAGATCGCCAGACAAGTCCACAGTCTGAGGTCAAGACAGGAACTTAAATTAGCAAGTCAGGTCCAGTGATGGCAACTAGGGATGGACACAGCCCTGTGGTCAGCAGGTAAGTCCACAGCTATGAGAGAAGTCTGTCTAGCCAGCAAGTTGCTGAACAGGTCCGGGCCGATGGGGAGACAGGCATGGCTGTCACACAGCTGTAGCCACAGCTCAGGTGGGGCCAAGCACTGGAGCCTCAGCCTAACTGCAGCTCCCATGGGAAGGGGGATGTCAACCCTCACTGAAGTGTCACCACAGACCTGCATCCAAGGCCACCAGAGGGAAGGAGGGCTGCCCTCAGTCGTTCTGTCTCCAGCTTGGCAGTGAGATGGGGTGCCAGACCTCCATGATGATGCCCTCAGGGCCCCCTGGCAGTGTGTGGGGCACATATTTCCTAATAAGGCCCATTTTTCCAGCGTGAAGCTATGAACTAGAAGCAATGAACTATGAAGCCTGAACTAGAAGCTCATAAGAGTGTGCTTTTGGGTTGGGGTTTTTTTTTGCTATAGCACAGAAGTAGAAATCTCATTGCTATTGGGAAAACAACACAGCAAAGAAATTATATTTCTCCTGGTAACCAGCGCTGCAAAAGCATCCAGGATACAAGAAAGATCTTAATTACAAAGGAATTCCCCAAATCATACTAGCTTGGAAAGGAAAAGAGTATAAATGTATAACAAATCAAAGTGATTGGAAACTTGATGGTTTTAGAACACTGCCGTTTGAATATGTAGTCTCCATCTTATGTAAGCTCCACTGCGAGTAAATAGATGCTGTAGATGCTCAGCTGGCTTCTGCAGAGATAGCGCAATATTTTCAGGCTCTGCTGCAGACGCAGTGTGAAGAACAACAAGAACTGAAAGGTAGACAGGCTTTTAAGACAAATGATAGAACCTGCTCCCCATTTTCTTATAGGTGCCTAAAGTGTTTGAGAGTTGGCTGGTTGAACGAAAATTGTCTCTGGCTTGTATTATATTACCTTATATTGGACATTTAACATTTATATTTGATTCTAATTAATAATAGCAGAGAGGTATAAGAGGTTTCGAAGTGGGTGATATATTGATCCAATTGCGCTTTTATCACTTTCTTCTCTCTTCAGTTGTTCAAGACAATTTAAAACCATGTCAGAAAGTAATTCCAGGTGCACCCTTAATTTATGCTTTCAGGTTCCAAATTTTCAAGTAATCAGAAAGCAATGAATGCAGTGCATTGCCATGCACATGTGCCTAGGATCAAGGATTTGTTTTACCACAGACTGAACTCTTTCAGTCTGTTCAGTTTCAGGTTGCGTATATTTATCTATGTTTAGTGCCTAGATGGAAACTGAAGTTCAGGTGCAACTTCTGGGATAAAAAAAACCCTCAGCCACGCTTGCAGCACTTCAGCAGAGGCAATTGATGATAGTATTTCTGTCACTTTTTTCCCCCTTCATAATCTCAATCTTCGTTTTCTTTTTGTAACACAGGCAACGGAATTGCTTCCTTCAGCACATTAACCATTACCATCTGCATCTTCACATGAATCTTTTTACAGTGATGTTGGTAAGGCCAGAATTAGACTGATGAGGACCTTAAACACCAGAAAATCTTGGTGAAAGGGAATTTTTCTCCTTAAGCGAGGAAGGAGTTTTGAATGAAAGGCTGATAAACCCTGTGTCTTCACTTCCCACCTCCAACAGACAAAATATTAAGCTCACACTGTAATATAAAATGTTAACTCTAACCCTTCAATGCAATTTACATCTTGTCTCCACATATGTGATGGGGAAGTGGAGGATCTGTGGCATATTAGTGGGGCACGTCTGTAGGAAATATATTGGACTTGTGTGTAAGCTAAATGACTCATTTAAGAACAGCCAGTTGCTTTGTGGAAGGTGGAAATTCCTTGTGGGTAGGGAGGTACACCCTTCCTTGGTGGCACAGGTAATGAGATCCGTGTTAAAACACAGTCAAGGGCCACTCTTTAATTTGATGTCACCGTAATTTAATAGCTTGTGTGGCATTCTGCTCTTAATCACCCATAATAGGCTCTGAAACACATTTTCGCATGGGGAAATTTCCAAGGCTTCCCTCAGAGGGACATTGAGAAATGGCTTGGGAGGGTATTTGCAGCGAGGAGGGCTATTAATGACATGAGTGAGTGGAAAAATTAAGGTGAGAGGTGGAAGAGTGACATTCCTCATGTGGATTTTCCCTGTGGAGCACACAGACCCCCTTCCTCACAAAGCCGGAGCTGGCCAAGGCACTGTCCTACCTCGGGAAGGCTCTCTGCCCCCTTGAGGTGTCGCCCGGGGGCGGGCGGTGACAGAGAGGCCATCTCCTCACAGAAAAACCCAGGAGGAGGAGGGAGCCTCAGGCTCTGGCAACACCTACCCGCCTGGAGGCTCCGGCGGCGGGCACGGGGCGGCCGAACGAGGGGTTAACGGGGCGGAGGAGACTCTGAGAGTTCCCCCTCAGAGTCGCGGCAGCTCGTGAGGTGCCTCAAGGGCCGCGCGCGCGGGCCGGGGCGGGCCGTTAACCGCTGTAGGGCGGGGACAGGGGAAAAAAAACCGACGTTGCCTCCGTCTCCATGGCAACGGCGGGCGGGCGGGCGGAGGCGCGCGGGGCCCGCGGTACTGTTTCCGCCGTTCCCCTCTTCCCGGCCGGTCATGTCGCTGCTGCGCGGGCCGCGGCCCCGCGGCGCCGGCAGGAAGGGCCCCAGGAGGTCGGCGGTGGTTAAGCGGGACTGGGACGTGAGTGCTTCTACACACCCCCCACACCCCCCGCCCCCGAGCGCCGAGCTAGGCCGGGCCCTGGGCCTTGCTGCGGCCTCGGCGGGTCTTCCCGCATTTTGCGGGCCCCAGCGGCGGGGCTGCTTCTCCTTGTGACACCGCAGGTGGCCCTGTTACCGGCCGGGGAAGGGCTGCGGGCGTGCCGGCTGAGGGGAGCTTCTCGAGGTCACCGTCCTCCGTGGTGGTGGGGGGCTCACTTTCGGAGATAGATAGCGATAGGACAAGGGGCAACGGGCACTAGCTGGAACATAGGGAGTTCCATTCAAATATGAGAGAAAAACTTCTTTCCGGTGAGGGTGACAGAGCACTGGAACAGGCTGCCCAGAGAGGTTGTGGAGTCCCCTTCTCTGGAGATCTTTAGGACCTGCCTGGATGTAGACCTGAGTGATGTGCTCTGGGCAACCCTGCTTTGGCAGGGGAGTTGGACCAGATGATCTCTAGAGGCCCCTTCCAACTCCGACAATTCCGTGATTCTGTGATACCCAATTTGTGTGTGGATTTGGGTGGGGAGGGGGTGCTGTGGGGGAATTGGTGTGGATGTGACCCCTCTTGCTTCCTTGGTGCTGCCTGGGACTAGGCCTCCCCGCTGGCAGCCCACTCTGGGAGCTGAAGAGCAGCCACAGTCTCAATAGGGGTATTTTTGCTGATTGCCTACCTCGCTGAGGGTGGAATGCTTTACGATGCCATAAAAACGTACCATCATATAGTTTCATGCCTAATAAATTGTCATTTAGTGGGGATTTTTTTAATGAAATTTGGAAAAAATCCAGTTTGTCCTCAATTCTGGCTTTTGATGTGTTTTCTGATCCCTGTTTGCAGAGTACCGTCCATGATTTGACAGTCCACCGTGCAACTCCCGAGGATGTAGTAAGTTTAATATTCCTTAATGTTCCTTCTTTGTAGCAAGAAGATTTAGCTGGTTATCATTTGTGTTTTACATACTTACAGGGATGTTTTCTGCCAATGTTTAATCTCCGTTTTGAAGCTTCTGAAAATACTGGCTCTTTAGTGTTAGGCTCTGGCACTTGATGTTTTTTAGTTTTCTGTTTCCATTAGGAAGCAGTAGCCATAGTTTTTATTTCAGTAAAGTGTATACCATCATAAACACATAAATACATAAAAACTCAGTGGAGTAAAGTCTCATCTCCGCTGGAAGGACTGAAAGACATGCTTTATTTCAGGAATCTCTCTAATTCTGAGGATACTTTATTTTCATCTAAACAATTTAACATAATTTCTTTATAATGAATAACCTGTTCATTACAAAATACGTGAATTCCATTTCATTTTCCGTGGTAGCACTGATTACCAGGATGGAATAAGCAGTATGAGCTATTATTGCTTATAAATTTTGACAGATTAGTCAGGTCAGATGGGCCAAATAGCAGAGAGAGACTTGATTCTATAAATAGTTGGCTTGATAGCTTCCATGCACTTTAGCAAGCACCTCACACATTTAATTTGTATTTAAACTGAATGTATTTATATATAATTAATTGTTAGAAGAAGTGAGGGAATATCTCTGTTTATTGTGTTAAATGAGGAGAATGCATTATGCCTTTTTATGCGTATTATAGGTGGTAGTGTTTGGGTTTTTCCTCCCTTTACAGCTGAGAAAACTCTTACTGAGTCAGTGGTGTAGGGCAGATGAAAACTGTAAGACTTTCCTCATTCACCTTTGGAGCTGCTTTAACTTTGGCTGGTCTTGATGGCATTCTACACTTCTGGATGTTTGTGAGGATGTTGTTGATACTACCAGGAAGTTAACATAAATAGTATTCAGCCCATGAATGATAAAATCAAGAAGAGCTTGTTAGCATTACCCTGCAAATTTTGTGTTAGATTGTTCCTTTATTTTGAAACGTTCCTTTCTTGTTTACATAGCTGCGTCGCCATGAAATACACAAGTCAAAAAACAAAGCCGTGGCGCATCTGGAACTGCAAGAGAAAGCACTGAAAAGAAAATGGAAGAAGCAAAAACAACTCGCTGATGATTCCTTGGAGAAAAGGAAATTGACTCTGATGCGTGAGGTGAGAGCTAAATCTGCACGTTCGGCCTGCTGGAGATTGTTTGCAGCAGAAGTAGAAAACTGCTCTTGCACATAGGTCAACATTTGCTCCTCTTTTTGGATAGTTTGACCTCATATATGTGTACACTCTCCTTCCTCTGTGTTGCGTGCATGCAATGATTGGAATAGGCTGTTCTATATAAGCAGATCTATACAGCTGTGCGTTTGATCCTTGTTGCCTGGCTATGCCCTCTGTAATTCTGCAGGCCTCTTTGTGCCTGAACAGGAACTGTTTGCAGAGTTGAACTGTGTGTTGTGAAAAAGATGTGTGTTCTTATTGCTATCTTGCCTTCTCCTCCCTCTGTCTGGTATTTTTCCTTGATGGAAACATGAACATCTGTCTTTCTGGGAGGGACATCCTTATCTGCCATTGCTTATTTAAACAGAGAAAATGTGGAGTCATAGGGGCAGAAAGGGTGAGACAAGAAGTTGGTAAGGAAGAACTTGTCTGGAAGGAAAACTGATTTTGCGGGCCCCAGCGGCGGGGCTGCTTCTCCTTGTGACACCGCAGGTGGCCCTGTTACCGGCCGGGGAAGGGCTGCGGGCGTGCCGGCTGAGGGGAGCTTCTCGAGGTCACCGTCCTCCGTGGTGGTGGGGGGCTCACTTTCGGAGATAGATAGCGATAGGACAAGGGGCAACGGGCACTAGCTGGAACATAGGGAGTTCCATTCAAATATGAGAGAAAAACTTCTTTCCGGTGAGGGTGACAGAGCACTGGAACAGGCTGCCCAGAGAGGTTGTGGAGTCCCCTTCTCTGGAGATCTTTAGGACCTGCCTGGATGTAGACCTGAGTGATGTGCTCTGGGCAACCCTGCTTTGGCAGGGGAGTTGGACCAGATGATCTCTAGAGGCCCCTTCCAACTCCGACAATTCCGTGATTCTGTGATACCCAATTTGTGTGTGGATTTGGGTGGGGAGGGGGTGCTGTGGGGGAATTGGTGTGGATGTGACCCCTCTTGCTTCCTTGGTGCTGCCTGGGACTAGGCCTCCCCGCTGGCAGCCCACTCTGGGAGCTGAAGAGCAGCCACAGTCTCAATAGGGGTATTTTTGCTGATTGCCTACCTCGCTGAGGGTGGAATGCTTTACGATGCCATAAAAACGTACCATCATATAGTTTCATGCCTAATAAATTGTCATTTAGTGGGGATTTTTTTAATGAAATTTGGAAAAAATCCAGTTTGTCCTCAATTCTGGCTTTTGATGTGTTTTCTGATCCCTGTTTGCAGAGTACCGTCCATGATTTGACAGTCCACCGTGCAACTCCCGAGGATGTAGTAAGTTTAATATTCCTTAATGTTCCTTCTTTGTAGCAAGAAGATTTAGCTGGTTATCATTTGTGTTTTACATACTTACAGGGATGTTTTCTGCCAATGTTTAATCTCCGTTTTGAAGCTTCTGAAAATACTGGCTCTTTAGTGTTAGGCTCTGGCACTTGATGTTTTTTAGTTTTCTGTTTCCATTAGGAAGCAGTAGCCATAGTTTTTATTTCAGTAAAGTGTATACCATCATAAACACATAAATACATAAAAACTCAGTGGAGTAAAGTCTCATCTCCGCTGGAAGGACTGAAAGACATGCTTTATTTCAGGAATCTCTCTAATTCTGAGGATACTTTATTTTCATCTAAACAATTTAACATAATTTCTTTATAATGAATAACCTGTTCATTACAAAATACGTGAATTCCATTTCATTTTCCGTGGTAGCACTGATTACCAGGATGGAATAAGCAGTATGAGCTATTATTGCTTATAAATTTTGACAGATTAGTCAGGTCAGATGGGCCAAATAGCAGAGAGAGACTTGATTCTATAAATAGTTGGCTTGATAGCTTCCATGCACTTTAGCAAGCACCTCACACATTTAATTTGTATTTAAACTGAATGTATTTATATATAATTAATTGTTAGAAGAAGTGAGGGAATATCTCTGTTTATTGTGTTAAATGAGGAGAATGCATTATGCCTTTTTATGCGTATTATAGGTGGTAGTGTTTGGGTTTTTCCTCCCTTTACAGCTGAGAAAACTCTTACTGAGTCAGTGGTGTAGGGCAGATGAAAACTGTAAGACTTTCCTCATTCACCTTTGGAGCTGCTTTAACTTTGGCTGGTCTTGATGGCATTCTACACTTCTGGATGTTTGTGAGGATGTTGTTGATACTACCAGGAAGTTAACATAAATAGTATTCAGCCCATGAATGATAAAATCAAGAAGAGCTTGTTAGCATTACCCTGCAAATTTTGTGTTAGATTGTTCCTTTATTTTGAAACGTTCCTTTCTTGTTTACATAGCTGCGTCGCCATGAAATACACAAGTCAAAAAACAAAGCCGTGGCGCATCTGGAACTGCAAGAGAAAGCACTGAAAAGAAAATGGAAGAAGCAAAAACAACTCGCTGATGATTCCTTGGAGAAAAGGAAATTGACTCTGATGCGTGAGGTGAGAGCTAAATCTGCACGTTCGGCCTGCTGGAGATTGTTTGCAGCAGAAGTAGAAAACTGCTCTTGCACATAGGTCAACATTTGCTCCTCTTTTTGGATAGTTTGACCTCATATATGTGTACACTCTCCTTCCTCTGTGTTGCATGCATGCAATGATTGGAATAGGCTGTTCTATATAAGCAGATCTATACAGCTGTGCGTTTGATCCTTGTTGCCTGGCTATGCCCTCTGTAATTCTGCAGGCCTCTTTGTGCCTGAACAGGAACTGTTTGCAGAGTTGAACTGTGTGTTGTGAAAAAGATGTGTGTTCTTATTGCTATCTTGCCTTCTCCTCCCTCTGTCTGGTATTTTTCCTTGATGGAAACATGAACATCTGTCTTTCTGGGAGGGACATCCTTATCTGCCATTGCTTATTTAAACAGAGAAAATGTGGAGTCATAGGGGCAGAAAGGGTGAGACAAGAAGTTGGTAAGGAAGAACTTGTCTGGAAGGAAAACTGACACAGCAAAGGTTGAGGAGCTACAGCTGCTAGCAGAAGAGCTTGTCATCTCGGGATTGAACAGCTTGTTCTCTAGGCATTCTGAAGCACTCTGTCTGAAAATACATTGTTTAATTTGCTTTTGAATGTTGAGCTGTAGCAGCAAACCCTAATCTTAGATAACACAGACAGGAGCTGTCACTGTGAAAAGGGATTTCAGTGGTAGACAGCCTTTTATTTCACATGGCAGGGGACTCCTTGCCATATGTTATGAAAACTAGTCTCAAAACATAAGTCATTAGCTTTCAGACCTCATCAGCCTTTGAACAAACTGAGAATTGTTCTTGTTGGTAAAGAATGATAAACAATGTACACCTAGCAGCTAAAATGAACACAATTTAGTAATGTAAATGTGCAGTGGATTAACCATCACAGACCTCTTCTCTCTTTCATTTTTTGTGAATTTTCAAAAGTCTTTTTGTGATCTCTGAGAACATTCAAGCATAGTCAGAAACTAATGAATGTACCTGGAATTGAAGATCACCTTGTAGTTTCCTATTTGACACCTGTTTCTCTGCAGTCAGAGTAGAATTTTTGTGTTAAGGATATTGTGCTAAGCAAGCATGATTTCAACCATTGTTACTTTCGTACTTTTCTGCCAAGTGCATTTTAGTATAGTATTAAAAAAAGCTGTGGACTTTAAAAAATTTCCCTAATGTAAGAGCAGACTAGTTTCAATAAGACTTCCAAAATATGTATCACAAAGGTAGATCAGACTACTCACTCTAAGATGTGGCTGGACTGCCTGTTGTGTGACTTTCCTATTTTGCAGCTGTGAAACTCATGGTTAGGAAATGGTGTTCTGTATTTGTTGCCATTTCTAATGATAATGCACAAATTTCGATTCCTCCTGAGTGGCTTTCTCCTTCATATTTAAGAGAGGACTTTATTCAACATACTCCTTGTCTACTTATGAATCACAGAAAAGATGCTTCCAGACAGGAAGACAAAAGGAGATGATGCCAGGAGAAGATGGAACCCATCTGGCTGTTGCCGTTTGAAACACTGGTGTCTTCTTGTGTGTAGAGAAAAATGAAATAGATGGAGGAGAGTCACTATTTTCACCTGTCCCTACCTTAAATCGTGTTAATTGCTAGGTCTTATTGTTCAGAGTATCTGGGGGGACTGTTCAGCCTGTGTCTCCCAGTAGAGCACAACCACTGTGGATTGTCTCCTTGACTGTTATCTTGCTAATCTGTTTTCCTTTAGTGCTGTGAGTGTAGCTTCCTGAGCACCTTGAATCTTTATCAGCTGCAAAAGACTCAGAGACAAAAACTAGGATGCTGCTGCTACTAGTGTGTTTTTGTAGGTTGAAGAGAAAGAAAGCAAAAGTTATAAAATGGATAAGCAAAATTTTAATATTTTGGGGGCTTGTCTGCTTAAAAATCTGAATGAAAAAAAGTACAAGTTCATCTCTGTAACTGTGGATTGTGAATGTGTAGGTATCACTCTGATTGGTGCCATAACAACTTACTTTAAAAATAACTTTAGCGTATTGTACCAAAGTGTGGGTGATGAATAGATTATCATAGTGGGGAGATTTTAGCATTAATCCAGTCTAATTATCTTTAATAATAATTTGAAACAGGAGGGAGGATGAATTTTAATGAAATTCATAGGTGATACTAAACTGGGACGAAGTACAGCATTCAGTGAATTCGTCAAGGGCATGTAAATGGGCCTACGGGCATTAGAAGCTGATACCACTTTGTTTTCTGCTGTTCACAACCAAATGTGAGCTACTCCACCTTGGGAGCAATGTTCTAAAAATGTTCATAACATGTTCAGCAGGAGGAACCTGCTGATGCTGAAAGAGAGGGTGAAAACAAATTAATCAGGATATTTTTTGTATGATTAAACACATCACTTTAGTTTTAATTGCTGCAGGGAAAGGAATTATGGTTTGGGACGAGTAAATTTTTTTTCCATCTTATTTTTTTTCCCCCCTTTTTTTTTCTGCAGATCTGACATAACTTTGTCTAAAAGCCTCCTGCTTGTTTTGACATCAGATGGCTAAATGGAAAGACTCGATAGTATTGGGTGTGAAAGCTGAATGGTGATTTGGAAAAGTAAATATGTGAGATGATTGAAAGATGAATATTCACTGATTTGCTAAATTGGTTATATGAGGAGAAGTATAATATACTGCAGTGTAATTCTGGCTCAAAAAACTAGAAAGACATGGAAACTAGGTATATGGAGGAACTTCTTGGCATAACAAAGCATAGGAAAATAGAGGGTGTTGGGAGAAACAGCTGAAATGCCTCTGCCTAGATTTTTTTGAATGAGGCTGAGTATAAACCAGCAAACTTATCAATGAACACTGAAAGAGGATATGTGGAGGTAACGGCATATAACTGAAACTGCTGCAAACCAGTTCCTCTTGTGATTCCTGGGTGAGCAAAAATTGTCACTCAGTTCTTAAATTTTGAGTGGGAGGGCATACATGAGCCTGTCTTTTCTGTGGGATCTTCTAAAGTACTTGCAGTCTCTCTGGTGAAATTTGATTAACTGTGATGGTGTGGAGGTCAGTTAAATATCTGTTTTCTTCTCAGGTGTTTAAGATATAACTACCTTCTTCCCAAGTTATGGGATATAATTTTAGTTCACTGCTTCTAGCTTTGTGAATGAAACCATGAGTCTGTGAGGAGTTTCGAATTGCCTTCTGGCCATGAAGCCATGTCCCCCGTCAACTCCATTCGGCTCGCAGTGGCTGAATGCCTCTTGCTTTGTACTCCAACACCTCCATCCTTAGGAGACAGCTGTTGTGCCAGTGATGGACTTCAAATACTGAGGGAGATCTTGAATACAGAAGCTGTGCCTTGTGAGAAATGTGTGGAAATTCCCAAAACATCTTCTGATGCCAGATGTAGTCAGCTGTGTTTGCCTGTTGCAACCTTATGGCAGTAGGTGGATTAGTTTCTAGGCAGGATTTTCAATAGTCAAGGCTGAATGGAATAGGTCTGTCTGAATTGGTTTGGATCTAATCAAATAGTGCAACTTGTGGGTGTCTGTCAGATGTAAGTAAGTGTTCTTTGACTCAACAGCTTTGAGATCTAATGATTTGAGGATGCATATGGATTTACTTTTTTTAATTGCCAGATCTGGCATTGTTTTGATGAGTGTGTCGTAAACACCCAGCTTTTTCTTTGTGTCAGGCTGGGAGGAGAAGAAGGGAGTGAGAGGACTGACTCTACAGAGAAAGAGTCAGTGCTGATGGAGGGCCCAGAAGTAATACCTGTTTAACTGTTCAGAAAAACAAGGTCAATTCTGGTCACTTAGATCAGAAAACAATACTTCATTCTATCTCAATTAGGATCTAATTGCACAGTACCAACTTTGCAACAATTGTCTTGTCGGCTGTTCTCTTGCTGTTTAGAAGAATACAAAAAAAAAAACCAAAGGAAAAATTGGTCTGCCAAGTATGAAATATTTCCTTATATGCTATACTTTCAGATTCTGTCTGATCAGTACCATTTGCAAGATGTATTGGAACGATCTGGTCAGGTTATGGCTGTGGCAAAAGACTCGTTTGGGGGTGCTCCTCGCACGCGAACAGGTAGACCGGCTTCTTTGTATGTGGTAGTACCTTTAAGGTTATGTCCTTGCTCTTCATAAATAGTTTTGCTTTCCAAAGTGTTCTTCTTAACTGTTTTCATCTAACGTGGTATGATTCAGCCTGTTCACATCAGATGAAACATAGATGAGGGTAACACCTCCCTTGACGGGGAAAGCGAGCCATGGCGGTTATTCTACTGTACCAGTCCACCGGGGAATTTTGGATCACCTACTGTGAAACACCTCGTGCTCACCATTTCCATAGGCTCCTGGCCTACACAGAGCACCAGTTCAAGCCACTTTAGTAGTTCTGATTCTTATTGCTGTATGGGTTGACTGCTTGCTTTTGAATATTGTTGATTTATCAGCAATTCATGAACAAGGCTTTTGCTTTTCTTATCCTGGTTTGTGGGTCTTTACCCTACTGAAGGACAGGATTGGCTTTGCATGTGAAATCTTAGGCTAAGGTTCTTTTCTCCATAGGTTGCTGTTCTCTTTTGCTTATAAGGACTGTTTCATCCTACATGCTTCTTCTGCACCAGTGTATTTACACAGATGAAAAGGACAAGAGCCTGGCACGTGTCCGAATGTGTTAAGATAACTCTATGGTTTTCCTGTGGGAGTTGTTTAAAGGGAGATACACCCCTGTCACCCTTTTTGTGCAAAGTACAAGAACTTGTTGGGTTTTGCTACAAAGTCATTTTGCACACCAAGTCCTCTGTGTTCTTCCCTGTTTTGTCTGATTCCTCTAGGTTTCCCTAATGTAACAATGGCTCCTAACTGTGACCTAGAATCAGCTCAAGGGCCCATTGTACAAAAATGTGATCCTCCCGCTCAGCTTTCCATCCTTAGTGAATCTGTCATGAATTCCCAGGTAACGTATGTTCTGTCCCATGCATGTCCTGTGGCTTATTTTGTCTGCACGAAATAAGAATATTCAAAGGTAGAGTTCCAAGCAGACCTAAACCTGTCCTTTGTGTATTGTATACCATGTTGATAACATATGTAGAAAATAGCATGAAATGGAGGTGAGTTTGTTTTGTGAGACTCTGGGAATCATGTTTGTGTTTGGGTTTTTTTTGAACTTTTGAATATGAGAAGCAAACATGTCTCATAGGGAAGCTCTCTTATATTAGCATACTCTCCCTTTTAAATTCTGGAATTTTCAGCAAGAGAATGAAGTAATTACAGACTAAAAACCAATTATTGTGTCACTTAACTAATTGCTAGGTGTCGTAGTACACCTCTGATTTTCTAATTGTGTCTGCATAAATGGGGATATAACCAGTTGGGCTCCAATTTGTTTCTGGTAACACGTACATAAACGCACCCTAGTTAACTCCACAGCCTTGGTTAGTCCTACAAGTTTAACTTTTAATATTTCATATTCTTTTACAATTATTTATATTATTTAAAAATTGTTTAAATTTGTTTAAAATTTCGTTTAGATTTTGCCTTTGTGTTCTGTCTTTTCATAACGTGAGTGGTACCAGGAATGCTCACTGTGGTTTGAGCGCAAATATCTGCAATTTGCGTTGTAGTACTGCTCTCTCATGTATTTCAATGTGGTATTTATTTTGTTTTGTTTTTTTTTTAATATGAAAAGTTAACTGTAGCACCTTTATCGCTTGGCGCATGCTACAGGAGAGACATTTTTAAAAGAAATGCATACTGATAGTAGTCTGCTCAGCATCTGTGAGATTTTCTTTTCCTTATATGCATATGAAAATCATAGATAAAGGCTATCGGGTGAAACCTACCCAGAATCGCAGAAATCTGGTAGTTTGAGGAATCCTAATTCCAAATCTGATTGCTTAAGTTTTGCTTCGGATGTGGTACATAGGATTGTATATGTAAGGTTGTATTTTGTTCTGGTTGCACTTTACACATAGAATATAAATGCAGTTTTGCAGATTTTACTACAAGTTCTTTAATGTATAATGTCAAATGGCTGAAATTTTAGAAATGCTGTCATTTAGGTTGCTTTTTGCATCTTATCCCTGCTATATCTCTGTATTTTTTTTGGTACAGTCTTTAAAGCCTTTTTTACCCTCCAGTGTGTGTGGTCTTTTTTATTTAATATAAATCATGCAAATAGGGTATTGGATGTTGAATGAATCACTTTGTGTGTTACTTTCAGAGACAGTTGTTAGTATTTCTTAGGTAATAAAGACCCCCAAAACTCTTCCCACAGAGATGTGTGGTTTTCTTTCTTTTTTTTAAAAATTTTGTTTTGGAGGTAGAGACTGAAACATATTTTTGGTTTTCTTCTTGAAACAATGTCAGAAAATATAAATTTTTCCTAAAGACAAATTGAAATGGCTCTGAAGTCCCTTTTATTTTCTTTGTTGTCTCTCAAAAAGGGTCTTAATGAAGTGGAAGAGGAAGCATTACCAATCTATCAATCAGAAGATGGACACTATGACCCTCTGAATTTCAAAACCAACATCAATTCTGACAGGTCAATACAAATATATCCATTCAAGGTGATGGAGTTAAAGAGTGTTGCATGGGGATAGTTAAGTTATGAAGTTTCTGTTTCTTCTCCCCCTCCTCCTTTCCTGACCTCAGAATTCTAGGGAAACTCCTTGTTGTAATGTTCGGAGTGGTAATGGATGTGAGCAGGGAACTTACCTGAGAAGTTAGAGATATTTTAAAAAGCTTTTTCTAGACTGTAAAGATAATCTGGAATCATGTTATTATGGTATTACAATTCACTGTTGTGCTTGTTTTGAATGTAGACTACTTCGATTATTGAGAGAAGAAAATTCCCTGGCGAATTCTCCCTTGTGGGTTGAAAAGGATATGAGAAAAACTACCTTATCACAGGAAGCAAATGTGCCTTTGACTCCAACAACTGTTTCTCCATCATTGGATCAATCAGGTTGGATTTGCCAAATCACAGCTTCTTAAGGGTTTTTAAGCTGTTCAGAGGATCCTGTCTGGAATTCATTTTCTGGGTAGGGGTGAGACACAGACGTGCTAATTTGGCTCAGATGCATTTCCAGACTAAAAAAACAGCTCTTCTAATAAAATTGCTTTATAACATATTGCTATTAAGAACGTACCCAAAATATTTCACATGTGTACTTTTTGTTTTGTTTTGTGTTTAAATCAGCCCTCAATGCTACCAGTGTCGTCAAGAGACTCCATTCAAGGCTTCAGACTGAAGACAAAGAAGAGACTCTAGACTCCACTTACACTGTGAGACAAGTGCTGAACCCGAACTCAAGGAAACAAAAACAAATTGCAGCAAAAAGTTTAGTACTTTTAAAAATAACATTCCTCCCTTTCACCAGGGTCCTTAATATCATCAGAAAATGTAGGTTAAAAGGGATCTTCGGAAGTCATTGCAGGGCTAATTCCAACATTTGATTAGGCAGGGACCTTGTCCAGCTGTGTCTTGAGTATCTCTAAGGATGGACATTCCACAGCCCCTTGTGTAGTGTATTCTCCTTATTTTGCATGTTCATTGGCGAAGCAAAATCTGTAGGAGTCTGGGAACCATAAATATGGCCCTTTGATGCTACGTGTTATTTTGCTAGTCATGGAGTTCTCTCCTGGGCTTTCCTATTTCTGATGTAGTTTTCTATTCTATGCTGCAGTCCCTTGGTGCATTTCAGTCCCTGTATTCTACACACATTTGTATGTGGGGACTGACATCAGATACAAGCTGTAGCATGAAAAGATTGTTGTAAAAGAGTTGCTCACTAAGTATGAGATCCAAAAGCAGCCAATATTTTTGTCTGGCTGTTCACTGGCAAACTCTTTCCATGCTATTTACTGAGAAGGAGAAAAGTATAAACAGGTATCTGAGATAAAAGCACCAAACAATCATACTTGAGAAGTACTAATGTGGTGGCAGAAAATGTGTTTCTTAATGATCTGAAAATAACTGGCATGACTGGGGATGTTCTTTGATGGTCCATTTTAGCTCAGGGTGAGAGAGGGCCTCTCCTTTGATTTATTTCAATACAGAATGTAATTTCGTTGGAAGGTCAAAGCTTTCTATACAAGTTGAAATTCCAATGACTTTTTTTTTTCCCCTCCCTCAGTGAAAAGAAAACAAACTGCACAGAACTCTGCAAGACAGAGGAGAGATGATTCTCCAGCTAATGCAATCCCCATTGACCTTCAGAGGGCCAACGCATCCAGCCTAGATGTTCTCAACCGCATGATACATGAAGTGGAGCATGAACTGGAGGAATATGAGCGATGTACGGGTCGTGAGGTTCAAAAAAGTGAGAGAAGTGAAGGCCTCACTGGGTTTACCTTGTCACTGGTGAACGCTCTATGTCGTTTGATGCGCTACCTCAAAGAGGTGAGAAGACTTTGAATTGCTTCCGTAGAGTGAATGAAAAAGGATATAAAATTACTTCACAGATGTAAACTTTGGTCTTTCATGGCTCCCGGTCAGTTTACTTTGAAGTCTCATTATCATTGCTTATTATTTGGATTGTGTGCAATCAGGAGGTAAAAGTTTTAGTTTGCTAGAAACAGGTGTCCCTATGAAAAGGGAGGAGTTGACTGCAATGAAAGTCTCTCAGTGACTATTAGCAGGAAATACCAATTAAAATCGTTGTGATTTGTTATTTATATAAGTTCAGAGTTGTAACAGGGTGTTAACTACAGCCTTGTTTACGAATTGATTTTTTTCCTTTTCCTCCCAAAGGCAATGCTGTTGTCACTAGAACAGTGGACCCAAATCCCCAGTTTCCTTAGAGAGGTTCCTTAGCTCTCTTTTCTATCCGTAGCAGAAACTTCACATTAAGCAAGAATGACCTAAGGTGCTCAGTATAGCAGTGCGCAGCTGGGGATCAATGGTATTTCATAAAGAAGATTACCTGTAAGCCGTGTAGAACTCCTTTTTAAAACAGTAAAAGAGTAGTTTTAATTTCATCTGACCCAGAGCTACTCAAGGTGCAGCAGTGGCTCATAAATTCATTGGGCCTTTGTGAAATTTTTAACCAGATTATGGCAGTTCCTGCACTCTTAATAGATGCAGCAGAATATGTTAGCTAAATCCCAGTGCTCTATTTCATAGCAAAGGCAATAGATTCCTAATGAGTGTGGAGCTGTCCTATTTTGGTTCCTTTTCAGTGTGTGTAATAATTGGGAGGGGAAAAAAAAAAAAGCAAACCACATTATTTTAGAATTAGAATTATTTTTTTCTGACTTGTTGTATAACAGTTTATTCCTCTGTATTTAACTATATGGAAGAATTTACTTTTATTAAGACCTGACTCAGAAGCAAATGTTAAATAATCAGTTCAAGAGCGAAAAGCCAGTACCATCAGAAAATGAACTTCGGCTGAGGAGATCTTACATTTTAAAAGAAGTTAAGAATGCTTGTTCTCTGTTAAAAGTTGCAATACCAAAGCAGGGTATTAAATTTGGTTCTTTTGCAGTTATGTGGAAGGATCTTCTGGCCTTCCAATAGAATGTTTTCCATTTATTAGGAAAACATCATTTAATAGTATCAAATTCATATTATAAACATAATTGCACTTATAACCCTATTTATGTTGTCTTTAATTTGTGTTCCACAGAAATGAGTTGTTCTTGACCCTCAGGCTTCCTCCAAAACTAGTCCAGATTTTCTTTGTCTTTTTTTTTTCTTTCTCCGTTGCTACTTTTCTCTTTATGAATGTAACATTCAATGTATCCTAAGAGCTTTTATCCTTTCAGACAGAAGGCCAAGGAGTCTGAGTCTTTAAGGATGCTACTTATTTTCAAAGATGTATGCTGACTCTTACTTGTATTCTCAATTTTTACTGAGCACCTCTATGATGTTGTTTCTACTTTAATAGATGTGTTCCTGCCTTCCTTCCAGGAGTTCATTGTTGCTTGAAGAGCTGTCTGCAACTTTTTTTTAGATTTACCACCTAAATTCAAGAGTAGAAATCTGCAGAAGTTGCTCAAGCTACAAAATGTGGTTAGTCATATTCAGATTTGCTTGAGATAGATGGTGTGCATCCATAATCTTCACTGATTTTTCCCTTTATGATGGAGCTTTGGTTACAATTTGAATTTGAGATTTCACTGGGAAGAAGCACAGCTTGTCTGAGTATTTCTAAAACCTGGTCCCTGTGATGCTAGGAATAAATCAAGTGCTCCTGTGCACCATCTGTCTTGCCTAGCCAGGAGAGTTAGCAAAGTTCCAATGCCTGAATTATAGCTGCCAAAGCGTTTCAAGAAAGTGACTTTGCAGCAGGTATTTAAAAAGCCTCTGACTTCACATAAATAACCAGTCTTCAAGAGTTTTTGAAGATTGTAGAAAGATTTCCTTCCTCTTCTGGGAAGAAAATAATATTTTCCAGCTTTGCTGCAGAAAAGCTGAATGCAGAAGAATTACGATCAAGGGTGTTGCTTAATTCTCAAAGTTACACATAAAAAGTAGGAAGAGAAACTTAAATTACTGGATCTTTCATAAAAGTTATATTAATACAAGTGATTAAAAAACTAACTCCTACAAGAAGCAGCTAGTGAATATAAATGAGGGTAGAGAAAGGGGAAAGAGAAGCTTCTGAAATGTTTGCCAGACTGTACAAAATTCTTACAGGGAAGCAGATGAGTCTGATGTGATTCCTAAATGAATTTTAATGTCATCTGCCAAACGCTAGCATTATTTATTTTTTTTTCCCCATTCTACTAAGAAGGCTATTTCTTTGCCAGACTCACAGGACAAAAAGTAAGAGTATATGCATGCTACGTTAATCTGTGTTGCTATGTTCTCTGGCTCTGATTCTGCATATTCTGATGCAGTGTTAAAACAAATCTTACGATATTAGAGGTACACCTGGCAATGGGCTAGAATGAAGATACTTCTTTCAGGGTATACCAGGGTATACCAGACTCAGATCCTACCTGATGGTAGCAGTATACAGCTGGTAACCCTGATGCTCTCCCCATGCATAGCTGCTTGGAAGCTTTTCTTTCAAGACTAGGTTAACACTATGTAGGGTGAGTGGATACAATAGCTCATCCAGATGATCTAAGGGATCAATAGGCTTCATCACAGCTACCAGGGTTAAAGTTCTTATTTCGTGCTGTCTTTAGTTTCTAAAAAAATAGGACTGTCTACATTTTTTCCATTTTCTGGGCCAGTCTGCTTCACTTGGATCAATACAGAAAAGCTGTTTTGTTATTGGAAGAGAACCAGAAAATGGATGGCCTGTCTCTGATATACTTAAAGGAGGTATATCTTCCTGTCTTTTTGTCTAGTGACAGTATCTGGTTTTTATTTTCAAAGTTATTTATTTATTCATTCACCTCATGTGGCTGCAGAGCTGTTGTCTTTTAGCACTTCTTCCTTGGTGGTTTTTCCCTTCTGGTCTCAATGCTAACAGAAAATAATCTACGGTACATTATGGGGAGCTCACGCTCTAATTTTGTCTGTGTAACAGAAAAGAGCGTGCCAGTTGCTTTTCAGGATCTCTTGTGTTTTGGAGATGGGACTTAGTTCTCTTATTCAGGGATTCCTTTGAGTAAATGCAGGCAACCGTCTGGGGTAGGGCTCCATTTGCTCATTCTGATGTATTTATGTGACTTTGTAGCCTCCACTCTTTTAGCTACAATGGTCCAAAAAGTGGCAATTGTGTGTTCCATTTACCTGTTAAAGGTGGAAGGGACTCTTTTGTGTCTTGTACAGAAAATCTGCCTACTGCAGTGGTCTGTCTTAAAATAATAGCTTGATAATATCTTTTGAGAGCAACAGGTTCTACAGTGAGGTCTTTTGTCTCATGCTCAAGTAGATTACTTAACAAATAAACCATTTTGTCATCTGTAAAAAAAATAAACCCTCTAGAACTGTTTTTCTCTCTGAGGGAAAATATTAGAAAGCAACTCCTTTGTTTGGTCAAATTTTTGTTTTGGTCTTCTTAATGATCTACGGAATAAAGAATAGGCACAAGTAGCACAGGATACTGACAAGGATCAGCACACCTGATCACAGAGTAATCATTTGATTACTGCAGGAAGATTCAGTGACTTACAAAGCGGTACCCATGTGGAGGGCCAACACTTGTGTAATTACAGCCTGTGAAGTTGTAAAGGCAGAAGGACAAGGATGTATAGGATTCCCCACAGCGTTCTAGAGTAACAAAGTGGGAACAGTAAGCTCTCTGAGAGTTTGCAAGCCTTGAAGATTGGATTTTGTCATGAAAGTAATGAAGTCAATTCAGCAAAAGAGGGAAGAGCTGTTACAGTATGATGTGATACGGACCCATTCCTGTTTCCAAATGTGGATAAATCTGTATTGATTATAATAGGTTTTTAACTTTTTGTCCCTCTTTAGAGTGAAATGCAACTGCGTGAGAAAGAGGTGATAAGACAGCAGCATGAGGAGATGTTGAATGAACACAGAGAACTGATTGATGCTTTGACTGCAGAAATACTGCTAGTGAGGGAAGAAAACACTGCTATACAGGTACCGAGCCCCCATCCCTCTCAGAATGACTTGTTAGAATACTGAGTTGTGTTGCAAATGCGTGCTGAGATGCATTGTCATATGTTCAGGAGATTTTAACAATAAACAGAAAGAAAATGATAAAACTGAATGAGGAGTCTGAGAATAACGATAGCAGGCATGGAGGGGAAGGAATGTTTGGAAAATCAACATTTTATCTTCCTGTATGATTTTTAATTGTCAAGCCTGAGAAAATTCTAGTTCTATTACACTGAGTTTTACTTTATCAATCTAAAGGTTTAAGCACTGCCTCCACTCTTGTATATTGTTAACAGTACTGGATCAACAGAGCAGGCTAGATATAATACTACATTTTTCTTTTTTTCAGTTTGCAGTGGAAGTAGATTTGTTCAATCGTTACATTTGGGAATGAGGGGATGTGGGGTGATGAGTTAGGAAAAGGGGAAAACAAAGAATTTCTTTGAGGCGGGAGAGAAAATAAATAAGAAACATCAAGACACCAATATTTAATACCTCACTGGAATCCGACAAATTCATGCAGTAGTATTAAGAGGCCATATTTCTTCTCAGAGCTGCCTGTGGTATATAATCTAATTCCTGTTGCTAGAATACATGTTTTTGTATCTCTCTCTTTTCTTTTTCCTTCATCCTTTAGAATAAGCTCCAGCAATACATGACAGTAACAGATGAACAGCTGACCTCTCTCACACGAGCATTCAAAGACCTCCCTTTGGTAGAACCTAGAAGAGAACAAAGTCCAAACCATTTTGGAATTGCAAGCAGTGGTGCAGTGAATGGCCAAGGTGTGTGCATGCGCGTGTGAAGAATGAAATGGGAGTTGTGTCTAGTTTTTCCCTGTAGTGGAAAATCTGGTATTTAATAGATGTCTATTTGAATAAATACCTCTTACATGAGCATGAATCTTGCTTCTGGAAATTCGGATGTCCTGAGTTCTGCTATGAGCACATTGCTGCAGATTATTTTTTAACATATTATAGGTTGTATTCCACCCCCACTGGCATCCTTCTGTCTGGATGAGGACTTCAAGGCTAACCTTTTAGCCAAGTCCTGGGCTTGAGCTCTAATACCTGGAGTATTGTGTGCAGGTCTGGAGCCCTCAATATAAGAAGGACATGGACCTGATGGAGAGGGTCCAAAGGAGGGCCACAAGGATGATCAGGGGGATGGAGCACCTCTGCTCCGAGGACGGGCTGAGGGAGCTGGGGTTGTTCAGCCTGGAGAAGAGGAGGCTCCGGGGAGCCCTAATACCAGCCTTCCAGTACCTGAAGGGAGCCTACAGGAAGGCTGGGGAGAGCCTGTTTAGAAAGGCCTGTAGTGACAGGACGAGGGGCAATGGCTTCAAGCTGGAGGGGAACAGATTTAGACTGGAGATTAGGAGAGGGTTCTTCACTGTGAGGGTAGTGGAGCACTGGAACAGGTTGCCCAGGGAGGTGGTTGAGGCCCCTTCCCTGGAGATACTCAAGGAGAGGCTCGACGAGGCCCTGGGCAACCTGGTCTAGTTGGGGGTGTCCCTGCTGACTGCGGGGAGGTCGGACTAGATGACCTTTGGAGGTCCCTTCCGACCTGGGCAATTCTATGATTCTATGATTCTATGATACATAATGTATTATACCAAAAAAAAAAAAGAGGGGGAGACTGGAGGGAGTAGCCTTTAACCATTAAGATGACTTACAAAGTCATGTTTATTCTGAGGGTCCTAAAAAAACCCCAAACAAACCTCCTTCCTGAACTGAATCAGGTTCCCACCTCTCTGTTGCTGAGGCATCCTGGCAGTATGAGATGATTGCTTCTTCCATAAGACACTGGAGGTCGCTGCTGACCAGAGACAGCAGCTGCTGAGGGCTGCTGACTCACCAAGCAGAAGTGTTTCTTGATACTTGGGACTTCATATCAGAGGTGAATGACCACTTGAGTGATATATAACACAGAAGGAGGCTAAGTTAAGCCGGTAGCACTGATGGCCAAACTAACCAAACAGGATTCACTTTGTACTTTTTACATTCTTTCACCATGGAGCTTTCTTACAACTGTCTTCCCTGATTGGTTGCTTAAATGCATTGTTTTTGCTGTCAGAGTCAGTAACTCCTTTTGAATCCCCAAGATTCCTTGGAACGACGCGTATTCCCTAGTTAAATGTTGGTTTTGTGGGCGTTTTTGTGGGGATCTCGTGAAGAAGTCACATACCAGATCCCTTTTTTTGTGATTTACCCAGGCTTTATCAAAGCAAACAAAAAATCCCACCTCAAAATTATAAAACCTAAACAACCAGAAAAGCACTCCTCAAAAAAAACAACAAACCAAAACCCAAACAAACAACAAAAAAACTCACCCCAACCTTCCTATAGATTTCTGCAAAACTAGAATTTCCAAATCTTTTTTCCTTATTGGTCTCTCTTCTCAAGAAGAGGCATCCTCCTGAGGTGAAAGCGTCCTAAAGTTACAAAAATATTTCTTCCTGCTCCCCATTCTGAAGTAGACCTCTTGTACCCTGATGTCAAACCTTTGGAATCGTTAGTTTTAGCACAGAAACCATGTGTAAGTTAACACAGGACTTCTCTGGAGAGACAAGAGTGGCTGAGGGGCCATATGACAGTGGCAAATGGCATGTGAGGAGGATACTTTGGAAACAGAGTTCCGTACAGTGACACAGGGCAGGAAGATGTTACTCATTTCATACCACAGTCATTGAATAGTGGCTGGCAGGTTTTGAAGTTCAATCTGAGAACCTCAGTAGTATGAACCACAAGTGGTATTGTGTACGAACAGCCTCTTCTGGCTCTTTGCCTTTAAAGGGTGGTTTTTGTCTCATGCATTTTGAGATCAGGTATGTTCTGCTTAATTTTCCCCTAACTTCTCTTGGGAACAAATGTCCTGAGCAAAACTGTGAGGAGACAATTCAAAGATAGCACAGATGGAGCAGTAGATGTAAGCATATTGAAATAATGTGGTCTTGCAGCTAGCTACAACTTTGATTTCTTGCTATTCATTTTGTAGTTCAATATAGATGACAGTACAGACACAAGCTAGTTGTAGTTGAATACAGAAGAATAGCTTTTTTTTTTTATTTTACTGAAGAGATGTCTGATTTGAGTTAAGCCATAAAAAAGATCATCAGAGAGCTCAAAAAAGCTTTGAATTGTTTTCCACTCGACCATTGTTGCCATCAAATTATAATATAAATTCATTAGGACAAGTGTGTATGTCTGCGTTTCACAAGAGAATACTACCAAATGCAGCTCACTGAAATACCTATTCCTCACAAGTCTTATGTCTGTAAGTCTTGTGCATGTGCTACAGACAGATTTCTTACTGGTATTCTGAAAATGTGAGGCTGTGTATAACAGCTCTTCTTGCTCTTAAGGCCAGTGAAAATTTCTGTTATGCTTCACTGGAAGAGTTCTGTTCCTGGGGATCAGAAGGAAGTCAGCAGTGAGTGGGGAATATATTCTAGTCTGTCTTTTCAGATACTTGAACATAAGAGTTGGTATTGAGAATTTTCTGTATTGCAGAAAACTTTTTTTTTCCTTTTTTTTTTTTTTTTTAATTCTATCTCTGCATTGTCTCTTTCTTTAGAAAAAAATGATTTGAGCTATTTGGAAATTCTATCTCTGCTTTGTCTCTTCCTTTAGAAAAAAATGATTTGAGCTATTTGGAGCCTCGGGCTGATGCAGGCAACAGGGAAAGTATGCTGAAATTCCCACAGGAAGAACTTCCTTTCAAGTATCTCCAGAGGTCGGGTGCTTCAGGTAGTGCGGGACCTGGCAGAAGCTTGCCAGCTCACGTCTTCCAGCCAGCTGTGCTGTTGTCACCCCCCCGGCAGAAGAGCAGTAAGGAATTGTCTCCCCCCCAGAACGGTGAGATCTCTCTGGCTGTAGTAGACTAGAGAGTCTGTGTAGTGTGTTACAGTTTCAGTCTTGCACTACCTTTGGAGGTGCGTTTTCTGCTTACACACGTTGACCCTACAGCTGGAATATCCTACTTCTGCACCCAGATTTGCATTTCTTTTCTTGCTATGCCTGCTGCTGGATTTCCTTTAGACTTTCTGTCCCCTGCAGTTCTCCATCTACTTTCTGCAGTCCTGCCAGTGGCAATCCAGACCGACATTTTTGTTTTGTGCTGGTTTTGATTGTCGCTTCTGTATGATCTGCTGTAGCTCTTTGTCTAGACAATGACATACAGCACATCATCTCAGATCTTCATCTGCTGATGATGTAATCTAGCCTCCATCATCTTTAATGGTGGGACCACTGAAGACTGGAAATTCAATGCCCCTGCAGCCCATGCTGCAGACAAACCAGGATGTTTGGAGGCTGTGTACTCTTGCTTTGAACCAATCTTACCAGCAGAGGTTTTTCTAAAAGCTATGGGAGCAGGTTTCAATCGGGTTTAATTTAATACACAGGAAGTGGCTGAAGAAGTTTTGGGTGAAGTTATGTGGTGATGTATAACCAGATTAACTCAGTCTTCTGTCAGTATCCATAGGTTTCAGGAGCTCTGTAGGTCAGTAGCTCCATTCTAGTTGTTGGGAGGAAGAAGGTTCATTAGGACTGATTAGGGAAGGTGTTTCTTGTTTAAACTTAATGAAGTGAGCAGAAGAGAGGACCCTTTGTGACTCTCAAAATTAGTTGTTTCCTCCTCTAACTGTCATTGTAGTCACATCTTCCTGAATGTGCTAGGCCCCTGTAACCCTCTGTTGTTGAGAGATAATTACATCTATCGTTAGCTTGATGGCTGCTGGCAGGAAGTAGGGCACAGTAGTGGGGTTTTGTGCCTTCCCTCCTCCTTTCCCCCCCAAGCCCTTTCGGCTGTGTTGCTTTGTAAGTCTTTTCCAAGTCAGAAAAGTAACCCCAGAGTCCTTTTGATTTAAGGAGTTGGCAGGGCAATTGAAAGTTTATATGTAGTTCAAGCTTTTGGTCGTCACCTGTAATAAATCAGGAGGAATCCAACTACAGGTAGCTTTTCACAAAGAACATCATCTGGCTTCAGTTCCATTGAGAACTGTTGGATGTGGTCTGTCATTTGAAACAAAAATATAAAACTGTGTTCCTAGACTTCACTATAATTTAGCTGTGTGACAAATATATTGTTACGCTTTTAAGATGTTAAGGAAGATAAATGGTTCAACAGATGTTAAACTTCATGAACTTTTCTTTATGACAAAATATTCATAGAACGGATTTACGTGTAGATTTTTAAATGTAATCCTCTGCTCAAGAGGCAAAAGCTGAAGCTTGTGAGGAATGGGCTATTTGGTATATAAAGGATGGAAAATCTGAGTTTGATCACAAAGTCCAATTTGGACTTAACACATAGCAGTGTGTGGTGTGTTATCAGTTTGCTAATCATGACCACAAAAAATACCTAACTACTTTTGTTGGCCAGACTGCTTCCCCTTTCTTAGGAACTTGAGTAAATAGCTAGTTTCTTATGCCAAAAGTCTTCTATTATTTTGTTTTATTATTCTAAAAGTTTTGTTACCAACCCAGTATAAATACCAGAACTAAACCACAAACTTGCAGTTTATTGGGTAAAGTATCTGGGTTTTGGAGAATGGAGGACTAAGAAGTAGTGTTTGATCTACCAACTAAGAAATTTCAAAACAATTTATCTTCTCTCTGAGTTCTCTCTCAAGCTCTAATTAAAGCCACATAAATATAAGACTCTTTGCAACAGGAAATATTGAACCTGGTGAGTTCTTGCAGCAGAATTTTCCATAGAGTGATTTTGATCAGTAACAACACCATTAAGGCTAGATGTTTTAGTTCCAGTTCCTGCTTGATTATTATTAGCCTCATGCAGTATACTCATTGTTAGTTTCCTTGATGAGGATCACATGTCTCTTTCCTTACTGTCCTTTCTTTCTTGTTTGTAGGGTCTACAGCCATTTCTCAGTCTCCTGAAAACACTGAAATAGAACTGTGCAAGGAGAGGAGCTCACCTTCTTCCCTGAGAACACAAAGCTCAACTGAGGAAAACTGTCTCATCTCTCGAAGGCAACCAAGTCCTCCTGAAGACAAAGACTTGGAAAGTTCCCACAAGAAAATTAGTCTGTCTTGCCCAGGTGACACTAGGAAAACCAGCACAACTGAAGAGTTATTTCAAAACGGTGATCTGCTGGGACAGATAGCTGAGCTCACACGGCAGAACTCTCTCATTAAAGCTCAACTGAGCAAATTCAGAGGCTTCTCTGAAGACACAAGGGACTGCCTGCATCAGCCAGGTTCAATACCAAATGCAAATTCTAGTCCAGACTCTTCACAAGGACAGGTGAGAATTTTGTAGCTTTAGTAATATTAACAGCAAAAGCACTGCACTAACCCACAGATTCTTGTCAAGCTTGTAAAATACGTATTTAAATCCATGCCTGTGACCCAAAAGTTAATGAGATTAAAGTCGGTGCAAGTACATCTCTTGCAAATACTTGATTACAGTGTTTGCACTGGTTGGATCTGTCTTGTGCTGCTGTGTGGTGAAAATCCCAAAATCTTTGAGAAAGAGAGAACTTGAATGCTTTAGTTGACATAGAAAACCTTTTATCTGCAAGTAAGTAGCTATTCAGAGGCACCCCAGTGAGTGGAGTTCACATCACAGAAATTCCTAACCCCTGCCTTGCTACTGGCTTTGGTTTTGTTCCATCGCAGTGCCTGAATTACTGTTGAATTAAGGGTCCTAAAGATTTTAAATTGCCTCATGTAAGCGTAGGCTGAAAGTGGTGTTGCTTTGTATTATGTTATGTAACGTTTAGTCATTTAGTTGCACAAGATGATGTAAACTTTTTAAGTGTTGTTTTTGTGGAAACAATTACTGGACGGGGAGGAGTCGAAGTGGATGAAAACCTGGTTTGAAGATGAGTTCCAGGATTCTTCTGCTAGAAATCTGCTTTTGCTTCCCCACTATCCTGTATACGTGACTGACTGATTAAATATTTTCCTAATTATGGTTAATTGCTGGAAGGTTGGGGGGTTTCTTTTTTCTTTTTTTAAATTATACAAAAATAGCTGTTTTTTCCTGTTTCTAGGAAGATCAACTTAAAATATTGTTGTGTTTAGTCAATTGCAGGACAGTGAAGGGGACAAAATGAGATTTTTCACCGTAGTTGTTATATAATTACGTTTAATTTCAGATTGAAAACTAGATGCGTAGAAGGACTTGAAATATATTGCGTGCTCTCCCTGAAGGTGCAAATTGTGAGTTTTTAATTGTAAGTAATTATCCAATTTTCCGAGTAGACTCATCTTGTAGCCTCAAAGAGCTTGGAGGAAAGAATAGCAGAGCTGAACCGTCAGAGCACAGAAGCACGTGATAAACTGTTGCAGCTCATAGAGCAGCAGAAGTCAGTTGCTGCCAAAATGGTCCCTCCGATGGTATCTCCTGTTCTACCCCCATCCCTAACTCATACTGGTAAGTACCCAGCTTCAGGAGAAACAAAAACTAGTAAGACAATGTTTTTCCTCTTTTGGGAGTTCTCTGTCCTTATCTGATTGGATCAGCGGTTGTAGTCAGCAGTACAGTTGTTGTTAATGACTGTGTGGTGCAAACACTCCTTACTTCAGAGAGCTGAAAATGTATCAGCTAAACTTCTCCTGAAGTTAGTTTCTTAATAATTAGTCTGCTGCAAATATCATGCTTCTTGGTAAAGCTCTTCTTTGCTTTGTCCTTGTCTGCAGAACAGTTCTGCTACATAGTCACTGGTGGGCAGAGCTAGCCTTTCTGCTGGAGAATCTTTTAATAAAAGGACTGAGTGTTTACATCAGGCTTCTAGAAATCACAGCAGAGTGGTTGTCCAGTTCTTAACTACACTTTAGTTTTTGGTCTTTTGGGTGCTCTTGCCATCAGACTACCTCACTGAGTTACTGCCAGTGCTAAGAGAAGGAAGTAACTGAAGCTTCCAGTCATCTGAAGATAAATTAGCGAAGGGAATATTCTTGCTGATTCAAGATTCATAGATTAGCTGCCATGTGTATCTATAAACAAAAATACTCTACAGCAGGTGAGGGTTGCCTTATCTTTTCATGAGCTGCTATGTGTATCTATAAACAAAAATACTCTGCAGCAGGTGAGGGTTGCCTTATCTTTTCATGGAGTTCCTGCGGTTACAAGCAGAACTGCCTGTGAGCACATACATATGCTCTGTCCATACCCACCCTTTGCCCCCCTTCCTAAACCACAGAGGGTGTATAAAGGGAAGGACTTGAGGGGGAGAGGAAGGACAGGGAGGAGAGACTGCATATGTGTGTGCGTATGCGTGCAGGTGCGTATGCAATGACTCATGCGTGGGGATCATAACACTTTTGTGGCTGCTGTAACATAAATTCAGCATGAAAGGTAAAATCTTAAAGGAACAAAGTAGAGAAATCAGAAGTCTCAAACTCTCTGACTGCCAAAAACCAGAAGGTTTATCTATGGAAGAATCATTCTATATCTGTGCACGTTGTCCATAATTGCTCTGAGTATCTGCTTTCGTTATCTGTCATTTTCAGAGAGTGGGCACGGGGTTGATGTTTAGCCTGATGTTTTATATCTGCTCTGTATTTTCTGTGCCACTGTGAAGAGTTATGTCATGCCTCTCAAAAAACAGAAGAATGAAATGAATGTTGTGCGATGGTGCTGTATTCTCATCAGAATCAAGTTATTATTTATTGCCTAGAAAATGCAAGGAAGACAATTGAAGTGTCTATTCCTGTGGCAGATGGTATGGACAGCTCCAAAGACGACAGTGTTTCCCCTGCCAGTATGACCAGTATAAGAAGGTAAATGTTAACCCTTTACTATTTCATTTTTCTAGTGTCTTGATTAACCATCCAGCAAAACTTGAACACAATAGAAAAAATGCCACATTGTTCTTTGGCTTCACGGACTTTCCCTGACTTTATCACACTGAACTCTGTGGGAAATGGAACAAAGGTCCAACAGCTTTTTCACTATTTCCATTGTTTGTATTTAAAATACATAAGACAGATCTGCCACATTGTGACTTTCCCTGACTTTATCACACTGAACTCTGTGGGAAATGGAACAAAGGTCTAATAGCTTTTTCACTATTTCCGTTGTTTGTATTTAAAATACCTGCAGTGTGACATAAGACAGATGACATGGGTTGTTGAAGACTATTGATGAGGGGTCCTAACTCAGGATCTGAGATATGATTCCATTAGTCACTTCCTCTTTTCACTTTTTCAATCTCATTTTGAATGTCTGCAGGTCTGCAGGTGACTCTAGCAAACCTTGTTCACCCCTAAGTACCACGTCAGAAAGTGTGAAATTAACTCCTGTCAGCCAAAGGCCAAAGGTAAGACTGAAAAAATCTTCAGCTGGAAAGTCTGACTAGCGATGACGTTGAAGGAAAAAGCAACACAGATTAAAAAGGGGAGAGAGCTCTGTCCTAGCTTAAATCTACTGAGCCTAATAGTAATCAACTCATGGCAGTCTGGATTCTGCACAATTCCTAAGTGGAGGGCCTGAGTGCTAGTGACATTAGTTGTTTGCTGCCACGGAGCTGCTATTTGCAAGTGAATCATCTGTAACTACATTTTCAGCTCTGGCATCTTCATGTGTTAGAACTGGGAACCTCTGGCAGTCTTTCACTGGTGGCTTCAGGGAATTTCAAGTAATGGTTATGATGTACTGTTAGAGCCATGTCTAAGAGGCAAGTGAGCTCTTACCTAAGTCAGTTGCTGAAGGATAAGTAAATCCAAATGCAAAGAAAAATCACCAACCTGGATCTCTGATTCCTGGTGTGCAAAGAGAGGAACAGACTACAGCGAAATGCTTTCATGGGGAACTGCAGGCAGTGGTACAGTCTGGTAAACCAGTTGTAGATCTGTTTGTGTGCTTGAAAGCAACTATGAAATATTAATATTGTCTTTCCTGATGAACAAAATAACCTAATTTAGGAGTGATAGAGAAACGAAATTAGGGTCCAAGACTCCCTATCCTGACAGCAAAGTATACATACCCAGAGGGGAAATTCAGAAAACTTAAAGTAGATGTGGCTTAAACTAGGTGTCTAAAGTAGGTGGTGTGACTACCTCCGTGGTGCCTGTAGGAGACAATTGCTACATATCAGTGAATTGATCCATAGCAATCCTACAGAAGCCAGTGCTAATAAGCAAGTCTGTGGGAAATTTATGATGTATGAATTTCAACTGGTTTCTTCTTTTGCAGGTGGAAAAGCAAAAAGAAGAAGGCTGGTTTGCACTGTCAATGCACATTATGTAAAGGAAGCTGCACTCAAGTCCTTTTTTTTTTTTTAATTATTTTTTTTTTAATGAACTACAATTAAATCACAATAGTCACCCTCTCCAGATGTAAATTTTTTTTTTTAATGAACTAGAATTAAATCACAATAGTCACCCTCTCCAGATGTATAGTATAACTCTAAAGTGCTTTCATGTCAGTGCCATTAGTACAAAAAGGTCCATATGCTTTGTGCCATACAAAGCACTATAGGAAGTCCAGGGAATGAGATTCTCAACTGGATACGCTGCTGTGACATCATCCCATTTCACTGAATAAATCTTTCACAAGATTGTAAACCGAAGCTGCTGTAGCAATAGAAAGGAGCATCTGATATCTGTGGTAGATATGCTGAAGACAGGAGGTTTTAGAAAATGCATGCGAAACTTTTTGGGGCATGTATTTGCACAAGATAAGAGAATGAAAAAAAAAAATCAAGAAAAACTGCGAGAGGGAAATGTACCTATGTTCCAAAGCAAACTGGAGATCAGGAAGCCAGTCTGTGCCTGCCGGATAAGAATTTGCATCAGAAATAATTTTTTCCTTCTGTGGCTTACAGTTGCTCCCAAAAGTTGTGTTTTCTGTGCAGTCAACATACTGGGGATTGCATCTGGACTCGAGGATTGCTTTTTAAAAATTCCATTGAATATTTTTATACCAAATATAAAGTGTCTCTTTGAAATTGAAATCAGAATCTATTTGTTGTGTAGGAAAGTATGCTCTCTTTGATACAATCGAGAACTGTGATATGAGTACAGCTGTATTAAGCTGGTTTGTTATGCGTATATATAATAGTCTAATGATCATGTTTTTATATTGTTTTTATTTGACTTTTTAAACTAGCCATCATGTTATTATTAATGATTAACAGCAAAATCTAGGACTCTGAGGAAATGCTTATATATCTGTTCCTTACATTGTAGTAAACCTGGACAAAAGCCTTTATAATGGAAATAAAAAATAGAAAACAATCCACAAGCCTGGGGAAGAAAATATGTGGAAGTCTCAAAAACAGATTTTGAGTAAAGTTGTTTTAATTTTTTTTTTTTAACTGATAATTTTGCCCCTAAATATACTGATGGGCTGGGGCATTAAAAGAGGCCGGCCTATGTCCTTTCAATCAATTCAGTTCTAGGAGAATGAAGAAAAGAGACTTTTTGTCCTTTTCTTTTTGTCCTTTTCTTTTTGTCCTTTTCTTTTTGTCCTTTTCTTTTTGTCCTTTTCTTTTTGTCCTTTTCCTTTCAAGGATAGGTTTTCTTTTAAACAGATGCAGAAAATCTAAAAAATGTGGGATTTAAAAGAGGACCTGTTGACCTTCATTGACATTTCTGCAAGTTATTTTTCTGGCATTAATTCTGGGAAGCAAAATAGTCCTGTATTTTGTGAAATAACAGTTAAAATTGCTTGGAAGAAGGCCCCTAAGTCATGCAGAGGCAGGAATGCCATGGTTAGGAGGGGCTACATAACCGTAGCGCCCACACATTAGTACTGTTGCTTCTGCCTTCCTTCAAGCTCATGGTTGCTACAAACACTCCATAACCATTTAGTCTGAGATTTCTTTTTGGAATACAGGATTGGAATTAATCTTTTGAGTCATCATCTGGTTTCTTTAACTTGGACGCTGCTCTGTCAGATAACTATTTGTTTGGAAGTTGGATCATCTAGCTGTATTCCAGTCCAAAAACGTTTGGTGAGGTGAGAAATACTGCTAATTTTGCTTTGCGTTGTCAGTGAAATCTGAGTCTCTTTGAGATCACAGAACTCGGGTTCAGGAGGACTGCAGGTCCTGCTTTGGAGTCAGGACTCGTGAGGGACACGTTGCCCCATAAAACAGAGTCTGTGGTGCGGAGCACCCAGCTTGTGGCCATCTGAAGCAGTAGGACCACGCAGAGCTCCAGTCTGGCTTCTAAAAGCCACGTTAAGAGAGCAGTGCATTCAAACTAGTAACTTGCCTCTCGGCACGGCTAACTAGCCCAGGTGCCACCTTGCACCGATGAGGGTAGGGTGAGGTGCTCTGTGCTCATCTGGGAAGGCAGGAACATGTTACTGGGTGTCTCCAGTCACCAACTCCTCCATGTCCTGTGACGGGGGGTGGGCAGCCTTCTGTGGCTCAGGCAGGGGTCACACAGTGGCTTCGTGGCTAAAAACGAGCTGCAGCTGAGATGGAGCAGAAGTGTGTTTGCTGGAGTAGGCTGAAGTATTAAGCTGAAGGCAGTTACTGAGAAAATGTTACTGCTTGGGGTTTTTGGGTTGGTTTTTTTTTTGCCTGTTCTAGACCAAGCAACAAAGTGCAGCTGTCACCAGCGGTAACACACCTGATTTCTCATATCCAATGAAAGAGGAAGTTTTATGGCTTAATTTGATCTTTATTTTTCAATTTTGTTAAATCATAAAAAGGCTGGTGTGGTCTAGTCCCAGTGCTGTGTCAGTGCAGCGTGTTTTATTGCCAATGACTTTCTGATTTTGCATGATGAGCATTTCGCTGCTTTGCTTCTTTTGTCTCTGGGCCTTTCATGTTCCCTTTGGTCCAAAATGTCAGCAGAAGGACATTTGGTAAAGAGCAGGTACAAAAGAGACCCGTAGACTTTGTTTTCTCTCGTCCTCCTTTTTTACCAGGCATACCACATAGGAATTAGTTTCCCCTTGAAAACGTTTCCCTTAGAAAGCATGGGAAAGTTTCCTACACATATTTTGATTACAAAATTCTAAACTAAAACTTCATTGCAAATAGTGGTTTCATTTTCTTTTTGGAAATGGGAAAACTCGGGGTTTTTCTTGGGTTTTGAATTGTTTCCTCTTTCATAGCCATTACTATGAAAGTTACGTGAGGAGACTGTACAGTGTGTTGCCTTTGGGTTTTATTTTGGTTTTGATAAATAGCTGAGGGTGAGGAGCAGGGAGATGAAGTTCAGAAACAGATCTTGCTTTCTGTTTCTAAGCTTCCACCCACTTGTTCCAGTTTCTAGAGCAAAACTGAAAATTCTCTAGGTCTGAACTTTAATTTTTGTTTTATGTTAGGCTTTGGGAGAACACATGAAGGTCTTTTTAAACAGGAATATCTCAGATGAGAGTATTTCCCTCTAAAACCTTTGGCTATTCAGAATTGCCAACTGTTGAACTTTTTTTTTAACTGTTAATTTTGCCCCTAAATATACTGATGGGCTGGGGCATTAAAAGAGGCCAGCCTATGTCCTTTCAATCAATTCAGTTCTAGGAGAATGAAGAAAAGAGACTTTTTGTCCTTTTCTTTTTGTCCTTTTCTTTTTGTCCTTTTCTTTTTGTCCTTTTCTTTTTGTCCTTTTCTTTTTGTCCTTTTCCTTTCAAGGATAGGTTTTCTTTTAAACAGATGCAGAAAATCTAAAAAATGTGGGATTTAAAAGAGGACCTGTTGACCTTCATTGACATTTCTGCAAGTTATTTTTCTGGCATTAATTCTGGGAAGCAAAATAGTCCTGTATTTTGTGAAAGAACAGTTAAAATTGCTTGGAAGAAGGCCCCTAAGTCATGCAGAGGCAGGAATGCCATGGTTAGGAGGGGCTACATAACTGTAAGCACCCACACATTAGTACTGTTGCTTCTGCCTTCCTTCAAGCTCATGGTTGCTACAAATGCTCCATAACCATTTAATATGAGTTTTCTTTTTTGGAATACAGGATTGGAATTAATCTTTCTTTCAAGGATAGGTTTTCTTTTAAACAGATGCAGAAAATCTAAAAAATGTGGGATTTAAAAGAGGACCTGTTGACCTTCATTGACATTTCTGCAAGTTATTTTTCTGGCATTAATTCTGGGAAGCAAAATAGTCCTGTATTTTGTGAAATAACAGTTAAAATTGCTTGGAAGAAGGCCCCTAAGTCATGCAGAGGCAGGAATGCCATGGTTAGGAGGGGCTACATAACCGTAGCGCCCACACATTAGTACTGTTGCTTCTGCCTTCCTTCAAGCTCATGGTTGCTACAAACACTCCATAACCATTTAGTCTGAGATTTCTTTTTGGAATACAGGATTGGAATTAATCTTTTGAGTCATCATCTGGTTTCTTTAACTTGGACGCTGCTCTGTCAGATAACTATTTGTTTGGAAGTTGGATCATCTAGCTGTATTCCAGTCCAAAAACGTTTGGTGAGGTGAGAAATACTGCTAATTTTGCTTTGCGTTGTCAGTGAAATCTGAGTCTCTTTGAGATCAGTTTGGATCATCTAGATGTATTCCAGTCCAAAAACATTTGGTGAGGTGAGAAATAGTGCTAATTTTGCATTGTCAGTGAAATCTGAGTCTCTTTGAGATCACAGAACTTGGGTTCAGGAGGACTGCAGGTCCTGCTTTGGAGTCAGGACTCGTGAGGGACATGTTGCCCCATAAAACTGAGTCTGTGGTGCGGAGCACCCAGCTTGTGGCCATCTGAAGCAGTAGGACCACGCAGAGCTCCAGCCTGGCTTCTGAAAGCCACATTAAGAGAGCAGTGCATTCAAACTAGTAACTTGCCTCTCAGCATGGCTAACTAGCCCAGGTGCCACCTTGCACCCATGAGGGTAGGGTGAAGTGCTCTGTGCTCATCTGGGAAGGCAGGAACATGTTACTGGGTGTCTCCAGTCACCAACTCCTCCACATCCTGTGACGGGGGGTGGGCAGCCTTCTGTGGCTCAGGCAGGGGTCACAGAGTGGCTTCGTGGCTAAAAACGAGCTGCAGCTGAGATGGAGCAGAAGTGTGTTTGCTGGAGTAGGCTGAAGTATTAAGCTGAAGGCAGTTACTGAGAAAATGTTACTGCTTGGGGTTTTTGGGTTGGTTTTTTTTTTGCCTGTTCTAGACCAAGCAACAAAGTGCAGCTGTCACCAGCGGTAACACACCTGATTTCTCATATCCAATGAAAGAGGAAGTTTTATGGCTTAATTTGATCTTTATTTTTCAATTTTGTTAAATCATAAAAAGGCTGGTGTGGTCTAGTCCCAGTGCTGTGTCAGTGCAGCGTGTTTTATTGCCAATGACTTTCTGATTTTGCATGATGAGCATTTCGCTGCTTTGCTTCTTTTGTCTCTGGGCCTTTCATGTTCCCTTTGGTCCAAAATGTCAGCAGAAGGACATTTGGTAAAGAGCAGGTACAAAAGAGACCCGTAGACTTTGTTTTCTCTCGTCCTCCTTTTTTACCAGGCATACCACATAGGAATTAGTTTCCCCTTGAAAACGTTTCCCTTAGAAAGCATGGGAAAGTTTCCTACACATATTTTGATTACAAAATTCTAAACTAAAACTTCATTGCAAATAGTGGTTTCATTTTCTTTTTGGAAATGGGAAAACTCGGGGTTTTTCTTGGGTTTTGAATTGTTTCCTCTTTCATAGCCATTACTATGAAAGTTACGTGAGGAGACTGTACAGTGTGTTGCCTTTGGGTTTTATTTTGGTTTTGATAAATAGCTGAGGGTGAGGAGCAGGGAGATGAAGTTCAGAAACAGATCTTGCTTTCTGTTTCTAAGCTTCCACCCACTTGTTCCAGTTTCTAGAGCAAAACTGAAAATTCTCTAGGTCTGAACTTTAATTTTTGTTTTACGTTAGGATTTGGGAGAACACATGAAGGTCTTTTTAAACAGGAATATCTCAGATGAGAGTATTTCCCTCTAAAACCTTTGGCTATTCAGAATTGCCAACTGTTGAATCATGTTGATTCATGTTGTCTAGGGGGGTGTTGAGATGATAGCCATGTGGCCCTACAGGTCTGAGGTGACAGGGACTGGTGCTGAGATGCTTTATCCTATTTAACTGTGGAAAAAAAAGAGGTCTTTTACAGCTTGAAGAACCTCTGTGATGACAGCACGGAGAGGGGAAGGCTACTATGACAAAATAAGGTCTAAGTTAAGGATGCATTTAGAGCCACACTTATACCAAAAGGGAGAGGAAGGTGAAGAGCTCTGTAGGTCCAGAATATAGGAATATTTTACTACTGTGAGACGCTTAATCAGCTTCATGCCTTAATAA